GAATTTTTTTTTTATAATACGGCTTGCTTATTATTTTATTTATGAGCGCATTAAAAGAGAGAAATTATATCGCAACGCGTCAACTGTTAACTGATGTGGGTAAACATTTATAATATCTATTTTGCGATAAACCTAGGCAAAAGCTGTTTCACTTTTGCATTACGTCGCGCGTAGCTAATTTTAACATTTATTTTCTCAAAATGAGACCGGATATCGTAAATATAAAAGTTGAAAATAGTTTACGCTAAATGAGCTATAAAACTTAAAAAAAAAAGCCACTGAATTAGTATAGTAACTGCGGTTTTGTATATTGTGAATAAAAAATATAAAACTTTTGCAATCTACACGATTTGCAAACGATTTTGTTACATCTTTCATCTTCGGTCTTTCATCTCTGATGTAGAGCTACACACAAAATAAACATATCTCGCTAAGAATATTGTAGCGGATTTTTTTCTTTTTTGCCGATTATTTTTTGCGTAAAAATATCGTTAACTGAGAATGTAGCTTACCAATTCTCTAATAAAGCTCTTCGGTTGCATTATCAATATATATATATATTCATTTGCTTGAAAACACGTGTGTATATTTGTATATATATGCTAATTTCATTATTATCATTAAATTGTATAAAGTTTTGATAAAGAATGGCAACAGTTATCGCATTTAATTCCAGAAACTTGTTCAGCTTCGATTTCACTTTTACTATTGACATACAATACTACGCGCGTACACATAGCGCATGCGATGCTTGGCTCCCGCCGTCTGGCAAAGGTTCCACCATATAATCCATAAATAAGCCCTATCCGCGCCGTGCGTATGCATGTAAATCGTCACAGGTAGCTGTTGCATTCGGATGGAACCAACGCGCGCAGCCAGACAGTGCACTCCCGACAAAAGGCCAAAGGCCTTGGGGGAGAGGATCTCTTATTAGATCTTGGAACGAGACGCGATCCAAAAAGGAGAATGCAACGCGCGCATCAAATCTACATGCATCGTTCGTTGATCGCAAGAATTTTCAATACATTACTCCGTTAAATTAGAGGGTTCACAGAATAAAAAAAAAAACGTATGTTTTGCATCTGTGTCAAGACATTAAAAAGAGATGGATCATATTTTAAAATACAATATTTTTAAAAACGTTTATCGATGGGGATATATACACATTCTCGTTTTCTTTTCTATTTTTCAAGAAATTACGTATATATAAAATAGCGTTAAATTAGAAGCAGAATATTAAATATAATATTGATGAATAATATTTCCAGATGAGGATTGTCAATATTGTTGAAATAGCGCATTAATTGACGTTTTGAACGCGAAACTTTCAAACGCATTAAACATTAAATATACACGTCGTACAAAGCGCCGTTAGAGATTCGCTTGTTCGCCCACGGTATTCGGCTACAAGTAAAATTAAACCGTGTATCATTCTAGTTCTTTGACTCATCATCGACCCAGACATTCTGCGAGTCAAGACTGGAAGCATAGCATGCTCTTATTTGATTATTCGAGCCTTCTAACTCTATCATAAGGCGAAATCTAAAAATGCTAAAGAGAGAGAAAAAGTGCAATAGAATTATTAAAATCTGTTTGTTTAAATTTTTATCGACGTTTTTATCTAAAGCTGCAAGCAACATTCGCAGAATTAGTGTCGCCCAATTTTTTTACGATAAAAGAAACTATTTTAAAATTACACGAATGTCTAATTTCGTTGCAAACATTAAATAGAGCTTTACGATCGATGCCAGCGAAAGTACAAATGCCGATGTCATGTTGCTCGTTTCATTGACTCATATCACTTTGAAAGACTGTTTATTATTATATGTAATGGATAAATAAACTAAGTGTATATATATATACAATATACATAATAAATTTTATAATTTAATTGTTTTTGTGTCTTAATCATAGAGT